GGGCAGCTCAGGGCTATGGCGGGGGCGGGGTGGGGGGGAGTGGGAAGGGAGCGGCGCTTGCAAGGATAATGGACTCCCTCAGCCCTGCCTGGCTAGGGGTGCGGGTGGCTTCCGACTTTTTGGGGAGCAGGAGTTAAGGGGGGGTGCACCCTGAGCGCAGTGGTGCACCCCTGAGTGTGGCAATGCATCCCCTGAGTGCGCCGGTGCACCCCCCGAGTGTAGTGATGCACCCGTGAGTGGGGTGGTGCACCCCCCAAGTGTGGCAATGCATCCCCTGAGTGTGACCGTGCACCCTGAGTGTAGTGATGCACCCCTGAGTGGGGGGGTGCACACCCTGAGCGCAGCAGTGCATCCCCTGAGTGTGGCGGTGCACCCCCCAAGTGTGGTGGTGCACCCTGAGTGTGGCAGTGCACCCCAAGTGTGTTGGTGCACCCCGAGTGTGGCAGTGAACCCCTGAGTGTGGCAGTGTACCCCAAGTGTGGTGGTGCACCCCGAGTGTGGCGGTGCACCCCCAAGTGTGGAGGTGCACCCCGAGTGTGGTGGTGCACCCCCCCAAGTGTGGCAATGCACCCCTGAGTGGGGCGGTGCACTCTGTGTGTGGCAATGCACCCCCAAGTGTGGTGGTGCGCCCCCAAGTGTGGCAATGGACCCCTGAGTGTGGCAGTGCACCCCAAGTGTGGTGGTGCACCCCAAGTGTGGCAATGCACCCCCGAGTGTGGTGGTGCACCCCCCCGTGTGGCAGTGCACCCCAAGTGTGGTGGTGCACCCATCCAAGTGTGGCAATGCACCCCTGAGTGTGGCAGTGCACCCCCCCGAGTGTGGCAGTGTACCCCCTGAGAAAAGGCACCGCCGACACTGACACTGCCGGTGGCGCCCGCGGGTGGTCATTGCTCGCCGCAGACACTGCCAGCAGTGTTGGGGGTCTGCGATCGCTGCTGACCAACAACGACACTGCCAGCAGGCGGGCACCAAGCTCGCCTCTGGGGGCACTTGGTGTTGATGCCTTGGAATAACCAGAAACGAGGGTCAGGAGCCGATGGAGCAGGTGTAGGTTGGGCATCAGAAAGAATCTGGAACGGGCTCCCAAGGGAGGTGGTGCTCTCCCCTACCCTGGGGGGTCTTCAAGAGGAGACTGGGCAAGCACCGAGGAAGGCTTGATTTGGCCGTGCAAATCTGAGAGACCAGTATTTAATTCTAATGACTACGGGACTAAAGAAACGTCTTTTCCTTTTTTTAAGCTACTTTGTTGTGTGTTTTTATACACAAGCTCTAGACAGTTAATGCACATTCTAGTAAAGTTATGTTTTTGCTTTGAATAATGCAGCCCTAGGTTCCTAATTTACTGAAGTTTATTTTTACCTTGAGGAAAATGTGTGTTGTGTTTTATGGGATGATGCACCTGCACTCCCCCTTTCAAAGTCCTAGAGGAGCCCATGCTTTGGTTAGTTTATAAGGTACAAATCTACCTCACCCATGGGCAGATCCAGGATTTTGAAAAGGAGGATACAGATAGTGTGGCACAGCATCACCTATAACACAACATGTACTCTTCTCCAGTTAAAGAAATACAAGATGCTTTTCTGATATGCTTGGGAGCAGTTTAAGATCAAAGCAAACACAAATATAACTTTTGTAATGTTCAAGATTATATCTAAAGTTTTCTTAAAAACACAACAAACTAGGCAAAAAAAAAAGATACATCATTGGTCCCCTCTCTTGTGTATGGCCTCAGAAATCAGCTTCCAAATCTCTGAGCCACTGCTTGGCGTTACCGTTCGATGTGCAGACTCCAGCTGCCCCGTCTGGGCATTTGTAAAGACTGCAGCTTTCGATCAAGTGCTGTGCTGTGCTGTTTGTTGGACCCCGCAGTCACACGGGGCTGTCCAAAATGTACAGCTTGTGAAGTGCTGTTTTGAAGTGTCCGTGTCCAGATCTCAATGTGTTCAGCTTGACCCAAGCTTCTCTGTCAAAGTTGTACCTAAAGGGGGACTTGTTTGGTGTTGGTATAAAACACTGTAGAAATAGGTCTGATCTTTCTCAGCAATCGGCCCACTCCATTGCCACCCACTGGTTTGGTTCAACATCCTCAATCTCTTCCAGGAGCTTGTGGGCTTCATGTAAAAAAAGGGGTTTTGGATCTTAAACCTCCATCTATTCAGGTCTTCAGTTAACAGGTGATGGAGCAGGTGATTTCTGTCATCTCTTGCCTCTATAGGCAGTAATGATGTTAGAGTTTTTCTTATATCTAATGCCCGACAGTACAGGGAGTGCATCTGTGTATAAGTTGTGCAGCCTGTTATGAGTCTCAGTGCACTGTTAAGTGCAATGTCGAGCTTTTTAGTGTGACAACTTGATCACACAGGAGCACAATATTCTGCTGGGGCAGCAGTGGTGGTTCTGAGCACTTTGAAGTTGGCACCATGTCGGGCCATCTTAAGCCAGCTATCCATGCAGAGTTTACTGCTGACCTGAATATGTTTATAGGTGAGGGAATTGTCTAATGCAATTCCTAGGTAGCTTGGGGGTACACTCATGGGAAAGGATGTGGTTGCCTACTCTGATATTCAACTTGTTCCTGGCTTGACAACTATCCAGGTGGAAGAATGATGATACCGATTTACTGATGTGCAACTTTAAGCACCGCTTGTGAAGACAGTCAATGATAAATTCCATGTCAGTACTCAGTATCTTTTCCAGATCATGTCACTTCCTTGGGCTACTATGGCAATATCGTCTGCGCACATGTATTGCTTGGAAGTTGTATGCTGAAAGACTGAGACATATGCACTGAAAAGTATTAGTGACTCTTGTGGGTCATTAGTCCTGTAGGGTCTAGACCCTGAGGGTCATTAGTCCTGTAGTCATTATAGTTAAATGTAGATCTCTTACTCAGAGATCTAGCCTTTTTGAGCATTCTGGCAGTGCCTCCAAGGCTTCACGTTCAGTCATTCCTATGCCGAGGTTAATTTACCACACCTAAGTTAAGTGTTTTTAGTTCTAGCTAAAAAAAATCTGCAGGGCTGTGAAATAAAAAAAGACATTACCAGGAATAGCTAAAAGACAGCAAAATTGCAGAAGAATGGGTAGTTTGAGTAGTGGAACAGAAAGATCATTACAAAGGATAGAGAGTCGTTAACAACTGTGGAGAGGGAGATTAGCCTGAATCAGGGAGATGACAATGAGTCATGAAGTTAATTAATTGTCTCAGCTCTGCCTGGATAGAAATTAAGCTGCCCCTCCCAGCAGTTGGTTTTAAACTTGGGGTGGAGCAGGAATCAAAGGAGGGGTGCAACTGCACCCCCTCCCCCATATCTACCCCGACCTATCTTCTCCTTGACTTCAGACAAACAGGAGTAACTGCCTCTCTGATCTCCAGTGTTGCAGCTGTGCATGCCACATGCTACCTAAGCCCCTCTGAAGAGGCTTGACTGAGAAAGCACGGTGTGCCTGTTCTCAGGAGTATGCTCATCCCAAACAGGTGTACAAGTCTCATACGAGGTGTACAACTTGTCTGTCATGTGTAAGATGGAAACTAGAGCATCCTTGAATAAAACACTCTCTCTTAAGCAGAGAAGAGCTGCTCAGATGATTAGAGGCCTGAAGAGCAAGCCATACAAGGAAAGGCTGGCAGATATGGGACTGTTCAGCCTAGAAAAGAGAAGACTTCAGGGGGATTTATTTGGTGGCAGCTCACAAACCTATCGGGGTGAGCAGCCGGGGCTAGGTGAACAACTATTCACTACAGCGCCCAAGGGGAAAACCAGGAGCAATGGTTATGAACTCCCTAAAGAAGGTTTTAGACTGGATATAAGGAAGACCACCTTTATGGTTCATGTGTCCAGACTCTGGAATAAACTCCCAGCAGGGGTGGTGCAGGCATCTACCCTGAAGATCCTCAAAAGGAGACTGGACCCACACCTTGCCAGGGTTATCTGACCCCAAGAGTCTTGCTGGATCCTATGATCTCACCAGGTCCCTTCCAGCCCTAAACTTCTGTGAACCTGTGAGTAGCCCCTTTATTTAAATTGCAAGGTTTTGTGTAGGAGCAAAACCAGGGTCCCAGCCTGGGAGCTGGTTCCTTGCTTTTGAATACACTTTGTAAAGAAAACATTGTCCACTGAATCAAGAAAGTCAAGTGACATCCTTTCTAGCTGCATCCATAACAACCCTATGCTCAAATTAGGTTCTTTGAGCCTACCCATG